GTGTGTCTGTCCTTGAATTCTTTATTGTGATGACACCAAGAAACTTCGGTGACTTCTTTGGGATGGGTTGAGTCAAGGCCTCAGGGCCTGGGGTCTCCCCAGTTCACCCGGCATCAGTTTTAGTCACTAGTTTCCTTTTCATAGGAAGGAGGCATTCCTCCTGGAAATATTCTACGCACACACAGTAGGAGCACACTTTCATTTACCAGCATATCTAGGAGGTCCTTCCATTTTGGTACATGTTGACCTAATGTATTCTTCTTAATTGCTCCATGGTTTATCATCTTGTAGATGTTCCTTAATTCTCTTAACTAATGTTTCATTATGGATATTTTTGTAATTTCCAGATATGTACTTTTGCACAAATATGAAGATAAATATAGGTTACATTCCTAGAAATGACACTGCTAGTTTAAGAGCATGTGAATTCTAAATTTTGATAGCCATGGCCTAATTTCTTTTCAAATAGTTAGTACCAGTTTATACTTCCACATAAAGCCTATGTATGATAGCGTCTTTTCCCCTAGATCCTTATTACCATAACGTATTACCAATTTTTTGGTTTTTATCAGTGATAGGTGAAAAAAGAGATTTCATTGTTTTGACATGTACTTACCTAATTTTGAATTTGTTGCATATCTTTTCCTATCCTTCATAGGTTAAGGAAATAGATTTCCTAATCTATAGGGTAAGGAAAGCCTCTCTCTCTCTTTTTTTTTTAAGATTTTATTTGTTTATTTGACAGAGAGGGAGAGTGAGAGATAGTGAGAGCAGGAACACAAGCAGGGGGAGTGGAAGAGGGAGAAGCAGGCTTTCTGCCGAGCAGGGAGCCTGATGCGGGGCTTGATCCCAGGGTCCTGGGATCATGACCTGAGCTGAAGGCAGATGCTTAACAACTGAGCCACCCAGGCACACCCCGGAAAGCCTCTCTTAGTTTCTCAAATGTATGCAGTATTTGTGACAGGATATGAGCATTCAGATTGCTTTAATATGTAAATCTTTTATGCTTCCCTTTTCCCTACACTGCAAAGCTCTAAGGCAAATATTTCCCCCACCTCCAATAAAGATGCCTTTTAGGAAAGTGGACCTCATTTTTCTATTGATTTTGGTCTAAAGTCCTATTATAACCCATAGAGTAACAGGAAAAGAGGGTTTCTCTGAAAACCTTAAAAGGTTGTGGGCATTGAGGGAAATGGGGAGAAGGCAGTATTATGTGTATGTGCGTGGGGTGCAGGAGCTGATCCCCAGAAGTTGCCCAACAAGGGAAAGGATCTGTTGCCTGGGAAGGGAAGGGTCAAGTTGGGCCTGGCAGGTACCACATTAAGGGATAATGTGTCAATGCCCAGAAGCTGCCTGAAGTCTCTGTCAGTACCTGGAAGCTCACATCATCTCTACCAGGGGCACTGCGCTTCCCGGCGCCTCTGACTCCCAGCATCACGGCTTACAGTGGAATAGTGATTGTCGAAGAGGGGTGACGCTGCCAGTGCTGACTCCAAGGCTTTGCTTGGTCCCCAGCTGCATTCAGCTCCCTCTCAGAACACTTGGAAGCCCAAGAGAATGCGGTGGAATGGAGTTCTGATTGCCAGTCTCATAGGTGAGCCCCACCCTCATAACATCTGCGTAGATGGGAAGAGAGTTGAACTAAGACAGCTCAAGACTCCCTTCCTGGAACAGCAGTTACTAACCCTGTTACACATTATTCCCATTTGACTTTACCTTTATTTAGAGTCTTTTGAGTTTTGTGCAGACATTTAAATTTTCTGTATGGTAAAATTTATGTTTTTTCTCTTACGGCTTTTCTTTTATGCATTTATGTTTAAAACTTTGATCAACCTTGAACTTGTTCTAAGAGATCTAACTTTTTCTTTCCATATGATTGACCAAATGTCCGTCATTATTAAACAATCCAGCTTTTCCTCACTGACCTGAAATGCTCCCTTTATCATACATTAACTTCTGTTGATCCTTTTTTTTTTTTTAATGCACATATTCGGTGGCTTTAATCACCCCAGCTATGTTACATATAGTGATTTTTGGGCAAGGCTACATCTTCCTGACTACCTCTCTTTTTCTAATTTTCCCATAACCATTATGGTTTTTCTCCTGATATGAACCAAAGAGTTTGCATGTCTATTTCCCCTCCATCCTCATGATATTTTTCATTGGGATTATATTACATTTATTAGTCAATTTAGAATAACTTAGCATCTTACAAGATTGTGTCTTTCTCTTTATAAGCATGCGTAGATTTATTCGTCTTATTCTGTATCCTATGGTAGCATCCTCAAATTCCCTTCAACAGCTCTTGTACCTTTCTTAATTTTTTCCATAGATACTTAATCATTTTGCTGAAAATGTAAAAGAGATCTTTACTTCCACTATACTTTCAAAATACGTGTAAAGTATATGTAGAAAACAATGACTTTAATATATAAAGATTTTTAAAAAGATTTATTCATTTATTTATTTCATCTATCAAGCTGTTGTGCGAGCATCCACTCCTGGAGTACGAGGTTCAAGACCAGGTACTAAACTTAAGCAGAGACTTTGATGCTGGAGTGTGGCCAGAGTAGAGTCATCATGAGGATGAGGCGATTGGGAACCAAGTCACTTAATTATATTACACTATATTATGTACACTGAATCCCTACTATATGCCAGACACTCTTCCTAAGTATCTTGTTATTACACTTAATCCTCATATTAGTCCAATGAAGATGGTTCTGTTGTTATCCTCATTTAAGAGATGAGAAAATTAAGATGGAAAAGTTAATTGTCCAATTCACGGTGCTAGTATGGCAAGGCACATCTTAAAAGTCTATGTCTTTGGTTGGGGGAAATGAGGAAGAGTAAGTATAGGGAAGCATGACATCTACTTTTAAATTTTTGAAGCGCTATCATATGGAAGAAACTCTACATTTTTTCTATGGGTGCCCAGAGACTAATATGTGGACAAATAGGCAAAAGTTGTTGATAAGTAGATTCCTGGTTAATGTATGCAATACCTTTCAAAGAATGAAATATATCTTAGAAAAGAATATGTGATCTTGCAAGGTAGTGAGTTGCTACTGGAAAAGTCCAAACAGAGGCTGGATGGCCCTGGTTGAGGATGCTGGCAAAGATACTCAGGCTTAGTGATTTGTATTAGTCATCCTCAAGGACCCCCCAAGGCCTTGGGATGATGGTAAATGATTTACCCTTTAATTTCCAGTATGGCGGGGTTATGTATTATGAGTGAAGTGGTAACATTTAATGAGTTCCAGGTTATCTACTTCACAGAAACAGGATTGAAGGGCTGATTCATATTAAGCAAAGCTAGTAAAAATCCATGAAACCACACAACAGAAAATTTTGGACTGAGTTTGATAAAAGCAGCAGCTGTGTATATGAGAGAGGTTGTGCAGTGTAGTGGTTGTGAACATGGATTCTAGAGCCAGACCATGTGGGTTCAAATCCCAGTTCTACCATTTACTAACTGTGGACCTCAGGCAAGTTAACTTAGCCTTAGTTTCCTCACATTTAAACTACTGTGTTAAAAACACTCTCATAGAGCGCCTGGGTGGCTCAGTTGGTTAAGCGACTGCCTTCGGTTCAGGTCATGATCCTGGAGTCCCGGGATCGAGTCCCACATCGGGCTCCCTGCTCAGCAGGAAGTCTGCTTCTCTCTCTGACCCTCTTCCCTCTTGTGCTCTCTCTCTCTCATTCTCTCTCTCTCAAATAAATAAATAAAATCTTTAAAAAAAAAAAACACTCTCATATTTTAATCCCTGTAAGGGACGAATGAGTTTGAATAGATAGATAGTTGGATGGATGAATGGATGGAAGGATAGAGTGTGAGAACAAGAGAGAAGCAATAGTCTGGAATATAATAAGTAATAAATGTTTGCTGTTATTTTCCAAAGAATGTCCAAGATATTGTAAATATTCAAACGCTATAACAGGTAAATCATCTTTAATTTTACAAATTGTCACAAATTGATGCATTGTTTTGGAAAAAAACAGAGAGATATTGGCACATGGCAAATAGCACAAACCTAAGTAAAGAAAATATTAGATCAAGGTAGATTAGAACTCTGACTTTTAAAAAAGTCTTCTAAAACTGTTGATCTATTTTTACTTATTTTAACAATCAAAAATAAGTATTTCATTGAGCATCTAGAGCATCTATTATTAGGCCCAGCACAGTGCTAATTACTTTAAGGAAAAATATAAGAACATCACATTGTGCTTGTCCTTAAGTAGTTTATAATCTAGTTATTTGTGATTATAAAGACACAGTTTTTTAATTTATGTTTTTTATTGGGGGTGGATGGGCAGAGGGAGAGGGAGAGAGAGAATGCCAGACAGGCTCCATGCCAAGTGCAGATGCAGGGCTCAATGCTGGGCTGGACTCAGGCCTCGATCTTACAACCCTGAGAGTCATGACCTGAGTGGAAATCAAGAGTCAGGTGTTTAACTGACTGAGCCACCCAGGTGCCCCTCATAAAGACACATTTTAAAAATCCTAGGACCTAACACCTTTAAGTAGAATCATCTTTGAAAGTAATCACTTTGGAAGGTTATACACTTATTTCAATAACCCCGCCATTGCTCAAAGCATTTTTTGCATCTATTCCTTTGGGATTGCCCTTGGAGTCATTACACAAGTCATGTAAGAAAAGCAGACTCATTGCTCCTCCATCTTCCTCAAGCGCCTAGCTTAGTTGCCTGAATTAATCAATAGATTTGGTGTTCAGTGACTTCTGGTTATTTTAAAATCTCAAATTGACCCTAAAAGACAAGTTTTGCTATTCTTGATGACCTTCCAAAGAATGTACCGCAGCATTACTGGACAGTAAGTAACTGGGAGACCAGGGGCCTTTCTCGTCGTCTTTGCATCTCCGGCAGCACCCAGCTGGGTGCTCACCCACAGCGGGAGTGCAAGATGCATATGTTGCCCTGAACTGAAGGGCCAGGAGCACATTAGCTGTTCAGCTGGAGATAGCAGGGTGGGCGGAGGGTAAAGGCAAGGAGGAGTTCCAGATTTCTTTCTGTTCTGTCATTTCAGTGTTTTCTTTCACCACTCCTTAGGCGTCCGGCTGTGACAGTGAAGGACAGAAAGGTCTGCCCGAAGCTGGCAGCAGATTTTCCCAATACTCCCTTCTAGCCCTGTGTTTGAAAAAATTATTAATTAAAAAATGTATACCTATTTTATAAGTCCAATATGCTTTATACATATTTGTGTGTGTGTGTGTATTTGCCAAATACACACAGGTGTGGTGCATGAACAGGCTAAAGTAGAACTTCAGTTTCAACATACAGACTGAAAAACTATTTCCATTAATGCCTTTCTCACATTTCCATCAAAAGCAATCATTGGGGGGCGCCTGGGTGGCTCAGTCTTTAAGCGTCTGCCTTCGGCTCAGGTCACGATCCCAGGTCCTGGGATCGAGCCCCGCATTGGGGCTCCCTGCTCCACGGGAAGCCTGTTTCTCCTTCTCCCACTCCCCCTGCTTGTGTTCCCTCTCTCGCTGTGTCTCTTTCTGTCAAATAAATAAAATCTGAAAAAAAAAAAAAAAAAGCAATCACTGGGAGCTCCTGGGTGGCTCAGTCGGTTAAGTGTCTGCCTTTGGCTCAGGTCATGATCCCAGGGTCCTGGGATCCAGCCCCACACGGGGCTCCTTGCTCTGCAGGAATCTGCTTCTGTCTCTCCCTCTGCCTGCCACTCCCCCTGCTTGTGCTCTCTCTCTCTCTCTCTGTGTCAAATAAATAAATAAAATCTTAAAAAAATAAAAGCAATCATTAGGTTTCATACCGCGTTTCAGAAAAAGACATGTTTGAAATCTGGAGGTATTTAGAATCACCAGGAAGGACAACAAGAATACCCCCCAAATAGGGGATATCTGGAGTGACCTGCTGAAAAAGCCAGGATCTGAAAGGGAAGTAGCAGACAGAGAAGAATGTGATGCCTGTGGCATGAGAAGTACAGACCAAAAGTTCCCAGCCGAAGCCTGTAAGGAACCATGGCAGCACTCGTGAAGATCTGCCAGGCCCAGAATTGCGGTCTTCCTATTAGGCTGCCAGCCAAGTACAAACAGTTGGCTCCCCTTGCCATCCTGTCTTCTCTCCCTTTGAATCTGAAGAGGTCAGCCGTCCTGGTTAGCAAAATAGGAAGAGAGGGCTGGAAGCATAAGATGGAGAAAGAGAAGGATCAGCAGGCCTTCCCTCGTTGCCTGCCTACTGAAGGCAACTGCTGGACAACCAGAGAAAATATAAGTTTCATGTGTTCCAAATTTTTATTTTACATGGAACTGAACACTTTTTTTTTTTAATTTAAATCAGGCTCTACGCCTAGTGTGGAGCCAAATGCAGGGCTTGAACTCCCAACCCTGAGATCAAGACCTGAGCTGAGATCAAGAATCAGACACTTAACTGACTGAGCCACATAGGTGTCTCTGGAACTGAACACTTTTAATTCCTGAATTAAGATTGTGTTTGCTAAATAAAGTGGTCATGGAGCTTTCTATTCCCTAAGATCACCCAGCAAAGTCCTGGGGCATGTCAGTATTTTCAAATAGGGAGAGAGGACAGACTTCACCCAATGAGCAGGTTTAAAGAGATGGAGACAAAAATAAAGTTGCAGTCTGATTATTTCATGAATGCTATTTGTTTAAAATGACAATTATAATATTGCAAATGTTATTTACTAGCTTTACATTTTTATAATAAATCTACGAAGCTTGAAAGACTTAATTATAATTACAGAGCAGAACGCAATGGCTCTAAACCTTGATGATGTAAAAGTAATGGTATAACTTAAAGAAGCCAAGAGGTAGATGAGGGAGGAAGAGTAGAGGGGAGCAGAAAGAGTTAATTCTTATTTTACAGAGTGGAAGTAAGAGATACTGCTTTACATCAATGGATAAAGAAATAGGTGGTTAAATAGAAAATTCCAACTTATAAAGATAACCAACAGAAGAAATAAAAATGTAATAAATCAAAATTGGGAAAAGTAGAACAGGGAGAAAAGGGGAATGTTACGTGATTTAAATGCTTCAGCCTTTGTAAAGGGTTAGCAGTAATTACAGCTTAAAATTGATAAAACCAGACATTAGGTATAAGACTTCAAAACACAAGCAGCGAACAGGTCATTACCTCTGGGTAATGCCCCTCAGGAGAGGGGCAGCTTTTGTTTTTAATCTTATATACTCTATACTTTTTGAATTTTTATTGCATGCATAGTGTTTCTAACAATAAATAAAATGAGATTAGAGAAAAATAGTAATGTTAATTAAACAATTCCTACCTGGCTCGAATCCAGGGTTTGGTGTGCATATTAAGGCTACTTCCCCAACTACCATGTTTGTCTGAAGCTGGGGGCAAAAAGCCCCTTTCAGGGGCCAGCTCCTCTGCAATCGCCCTGATGTGGTACGGCTCAAATCCACAGCATCCGCCAATGTACCTGACCCCCAGATTGTAGGCCTCTCTGGCATATTTTTGAATATCCCATCTGGTTGCAACTCTGGGCTCTAGTCCTGCAACACAATAATCACAGCACTTCTGTTACCATCCCTACATTCAAATCATAGGTGCTCCGATGGAGCACTTTTTAAAATTAAAACATGATGAACTTTAGATTATGTTCTTTTTTCATTAACACTGACTGGTTTTGTCTTACACATTCTCTTTTCGTAAGACTGTACCATAGCTGTTCATTATAGCCGTTTCCATGTTGTCAGCACAAGAAAAGGCAAGGACCGTTCCTACGCCCTGAGCTTACCAAAGGGATATTCTGGGAGATCCACAAACCCGCCTTTGCCACAGTCAGGGGTGTGGAAGCCCAGGGATTGCACCATCAGGTGTGCCTTCAACCCTGCCGTCCGTAGGCCCTCCTTCATGAGCCTCATTGTCTTCAAGCTGGTGCTGGGCCCAAAGCGGCAGTTCACGCCCACGATTGCAGCCCCTAGGCAAAGAAATAAAGAACTTTTACATTTTACTTATTTTTTAAGAGTTGGAAATTGCCTTAGAGATTAGTTATCCTTCTCCACCTCCCAAGTTTTACCAAGAGGAAAACCAATGCCAGTTAATTCTTCTATTTCTGAACTGCTCTCACAAGATTAAGCAACCTTTGTTAAATTTCACAAACAGCCGAACTGCTGATCACATTATGGGTCCCAATTACCTGCCTTCACCAGCTTAACAGCACATTCTCCAGGTGTCACCCCACGCATGTCTCCGTCCGGGCCTATGCACATGGTAGCTGCCACAGGTTTACCCGATTGTTTTAAGACTTCCACAGCCCATATGGCTTCTTCGGCATGCTCAAAATACTAAGAGAGATTTCATTTTTTCTATTGGTCCAAATGTAAAGCAGATTTTGAAAGGTGGAATGCAAATGTTGCAGAACAATTATAAAAATGACCAAGTATATGTGGTAAAACTTGCTGAGGAACAGGTCTTTAGCAAACTAAAGAATACTTTTCTGAGTAAACATTTTAATTCCTTTAACAATAATATATAGATTTTCATTCAGAGATCATTGATGCAGCAAGATGATGACTGTTATGGATAAAAACAGAAACAAAAACAAAAAACACAAACGGTTTTAACAAAATTGAGTATCTAAAATCATAAATTTGAAGGAATGAACTTTTTTTTTCAAAGATTATTTATTTATTGGGCGCCTGGGTGGCTCAGTTGGTTAAGCGACTGCCTTCGGCTCAGGTCATGATCCTGGAGTCTCGGGATCGAGTCCCACATCAGGCTCCCTGCTCAGCAGGGAGTCTGCTTCTCCCTCTGACCCTCTTCCCTCTCGTGCTCTCAATCTCTCAAACAAATAAATAAATAAATAAATAAATAAAATCTTCAAAGATTACTTATTTATTTATTTGAGAGAGAGCAGTGTGAGTGAGAACTCGAGTGGGGACAGAGGAGTAGAGGGAGAGAGAGAAGCAGACTCCTTGCTGAGCAGGGAGCCCGATGAGGGACTCGATCCCAGGACCCCGGAATCATGACCTGAGCTGAAGGCAGATGCTTAACCTATTGGGCCACCAGGTGCCCCAGGAGTGAAAGTTTTACTAATAAATTTTATTTTATTTTTTTTTAACGATTTATTTATTTGAGAGAGAGAGAGAGAAAGAGCACAACGTGAGTAGGGGGAGGAATAAAGGGCGAGAGAGAGAGAGAGAGAATCCCAAGCACACTCCCCACTGAGAGTGTAACCCGATGTGGGGCTGGATCTCACAACTCTGAAATCACAACCCGGGTGGAAACTGAATTGGTCACTTAACCGACTGAGCCACCCAGGTGCCCCTTACTAATAAATTTTAGGCTCATCTTTTATGGAGCTGGGGTAATCTCTGAAAAATAATGAAGAGTTTATTATACTTTCTACTTCAAAGTGATTTTATATTCACTTCTCGTTAGATGTTCATAAGTGCTCCATGAAGTAGGAGAAATATGATGGTTTCCCCCAGTGAGACCACTGCAGCACAGAGCTGGGGGGTGGGGAATAGCTACTCAGTTTCTTTCATTTGCAGGGGTCTTCCCAGGAACCCCCTTAAGGGCGACCATTGAAAAGCTGACCTTAAGTAAATGAAGAAAAGCCAGCAAAAATCTCCCTGTGTTCTTCCTTCTTGACTTAGATTCTGCAAAAGCAGTGTGTGAGGAATGGCAGAGAGAGTCCACAGAGAGGTTCTTACAAAACAACCTTGTGTTCCATCTGTCTGGAGAGGCTATCGGGTGGAGTTTGTGCCCATCTCTGCAGATGATTGTTGCCAAGTGCATCTGCCAGGCTTGGGTGGCCCTGAGCCTTGGGAAGGTTGATGAAGCAAGCTTTTCAATAGATTCAGAGAGTGATAAGGGAAACAGCAGCTGGGAGGCTACTGTCCTCGTTGGGGGTAGAGACTTGGGCTGAGAGTTTTACTCCAGGTGGTAGCAAAGGTGGGAAATGGGGAATGAGGGCTTTTTAATTTTTGGAAGTGGAAGGAAGAGAATGTTCTGGGCCTTCGTGTCCAAGCAACGACCAATTCTTACTCTTTCTTCAAAATATCACTCCCCTGTTATAACTTGAGTGAAAGCAGGGGGTTGGGAGAGAACAGAGCATGGACAGTGGAGGGCAAGGAAACTTCCTGGTACTGAGTATTATTAGCGGGGCCTGCATGAGCCTGAGCAGCTGTCTACCTCCTAAGCTTTGCTCGCTCACAGCCTCCAGACCTGGCAGAGCTCCTTCCAGCCCTGCCCCTCCCACAGGAGAGGTTGCTCCCTGAAGCATCGTCCCCTTCTCACCCAGCATCGTAGGGTCCCCTGTGAGTTGGCTGCTGCAACCACCCAAAGACAACCAAGGCTACGGTCAGGCCTCTCCTGGGTCTGCCCTTTGGCTTCACTAAAACCCAGCATGCAAGTGAGAGGATTGTTTGCCTTGATGGCACTGCATGTATATAAACCTCTGACCCTATACCCTGAGGAAATCAGGGCACAAAGCAATCCCAAATACCCTCGTGAAAGCTGAAGATTATGTAGCGGGATTTGTCCGAAGAGAGTGACTCCCTCCCCTAAAATACTAGGCTTACCTCTGCGATCAAGAAGTCCACATTTTTCTTTGTAAAAACCTCTAGCTGGAGTTGAAAGAGTTTTTTAACTGTGGCTTCATCCTTGTGGTGTCTGTACACTGATGTCCGGCAGACCCCCCCAGCTACCAGAGCATCACCCTTGCCAGCCACTTCCCTGGCAAGGTCACAGGCAGCAGCGTTCACAGCTTCCCACTGAGGTCAGAGAGCAAGAGTTCAGACGGTGAGCCTGGCATTTTCGCAGTAAAATATAACAGATAACAAAGGGGGCAATGAGCAAGTCAGATGAGTCCCAGTTATGGTTTAAACTGCAGTTTGAGGGGGGCTGGGGATAACTGGGTGATGGACATGAAGGAAGGCCCGTGATGGGATAGGCACTGGGTATTCTATGCAACTGATGAATCACTGACCTCTACCTCTGAAACCAATAATACACTCTATGTTAATTCACTGAATTGAAATAAAATAGAATTTTTAAAAAACCCTGCAATTTGAGAAGACCAGCAGCGTTGGGGACTTCTCCTTCACTGCCAGTGAGCTTATTTCCATTACTGTACTCACCACAATGCATTTTAGGAAATGTTTGTGTTTGCCTCCCCCACTGGACTGTGAACCACTTCAGAACGGGCCCTATGGCTCTCTTTCACCTTTGTTTTGAGCATAGAGATTGGACTCTAACAGGTACTCAATAAATGTTGGTTGGTTGACTGAACAAATGGGCATGAACACTGACAAGTATGAACACTTTACATGTACACAATATTGCACAGTACTTCCACATTCTTCCCCTTCTCTACTTTTCTCAACAACCCTACGCATTTAAGCATAAATGATCTCCATTTTGCACAAGGAAAACCAGTGCTCCGTGCAGCCGAGTGTCTTGCACAAAGTCACACACCCAACAGGAGGCAAAGTTGGCATCAAACCCAATTCTTCTCATGCCCAGGCCAGTGATGTGTTCCCAAGGACCACCCTATCTCCAGATGGACAAGTTAGAAGAGAAGATGGTGAGATCAGGTGAAAAGGGCATCTAAAAAGTGTTCTTTCTCTATAAAAAAATAGCACAGGATGACCATGTCCTTCCAATGGCCTATTCCTTCCCACTCCTCTCTTCCCCTCTACCCCAGCTCAGGAGGCAGAAACAAGCTCATTTATGTGGTATATATTTGTTTACATAATAATTAATTCATTAATACACATTTTATGTAGAGTTTGTAACAAAGTATAGTAACATATCAGGTCAATTCCATACCTTCCCTTCAAGAGGTTATTTTTATTATAGATGATCCCTGACACTCCCCCTGCCCTCCCTCCACCCCCACCCCCACCAAAATGACAGTTTACCTTGCTTTCCATATTGTCCTCACTGGCAGCAAAGGTGAAAGTCTGCATGACATTTGATCCTGCTCTCAAGAATTCTATGTGAAGTTGACGAACTACAAGGTAGTTTTTTAAATTAAAATTAAAAAGATAAAAATCATAGGAGCTATCATTTGCAGCAAAAGCAGCTTACCCACTCACAATCTCTTTCAATCAGACACAATTTCAAACCTAGTTCTTATAAAAAATTGCAGATTAAGGTCAGTAGAGTTCAAGGACAGGACATGGCAGAGTCAATACTAAATTGGGACTGTTTGGAGTGTCCTCATATTGTCCTGTCCATGGGCCTCAATGGTCTGGTGCAGTCACAGGCAGACACTAAGGTCTCGCTGACCACTTGCCCCTTGGTCTTTTGGTCTAGAGAGGGTTTATTCATTTGCCTGTGTTGTGGAGGATGTAGCTGGTCTACTTACAGTCAGGAAATCCTTATATGAGGAAATTCTCACAGTGGACAAGGTGTGTGTGGGTGGTGCCCTCACCAAACCGATTCAACAGCAGGCAGCTGGGGGCACGCAGTCAGGGAGCTTCCATGGGCCTATCAGGACATCCTTCCCTCCTCTCTCTTCATCTCTCCCCAACCCCAAACCTCATCCTTGCTATTTCAACACTTTCTTTCTGGTTTAGCAAACAGATCTTCTAAAATTAAGGACAAGGACAAGTTCTCTGTGGGCCAGATGAAAACTTGGTGCTAAGTGCCAGAGAAACAAAACTTGGTCCTTCCATATAACTCTGAGTGTCTGATGAAGCAATAAAATTGGCCAGTGGATATGATGTGTTGGGATTTTCGTGCGGGTTAACTCACGAGTCCTCACAACTAGCCCATGTCATACACTCTTGTGACATGGGTCAAGAACCTGAGCCTGAGGCACCTGGGTGGCTCCATCGGTTAAGCAACCAACTCTTGGTTTTGGCTCAGGTCATGATCTCAAGGTTGTGAGATCGAGCCCCGAGTTGGGCTCCACACTCAGCATGGAGTCGGCTTGTCCTTCTCTCTCTGTTCCTCCCCCCACTCACACTCATGCTCAAAAATAAATAAATGTATCTTAAAAAAAAAAGAAACTGATCCTTGGGAAAGTCCAATGACTTGTGCAAAGTCACACAGCTGATGGGTGGAAGAATCAAGACAGGGTCCCAGGTTTCTCAGATACCCTGGGCATACATGAATACAATCAGAGCAAATCCAAAGTTCCACTCCCAGCTTGTATCCTTTCATTCTTTCGCTTTCTTTTCTTCCTTTTTTTTTTTTTAAAGATTTTATTTATTTATTTGACAGAGAGAGACACAGCGAGAGAGGGAACACAAGCAGGGGGAGTGGGAAAGGGAGAAGCAGGCTTCCCACCGAGCAGGGAGCTCGATGCGGGGCTCGATCCCAGGACCCCGGGATCATGACCTGAGCCGAAGGCAGACGCTTAACGACTGAGCCACCCAGGCGCCCCTATTTTCCACTTTAATTTAGGAGACTACTCTCAAAAGAGAATAAAAATAGAATTAAAGCTCCAGTTTGATGTTACTTGCCAATCTGATCACAGTTTTTACCTCCAACTTTTATTGGTTTTTTTTCTAGCTCAGGGGATGAGGTGAAACTGTGTTGATTTCTTCACACCCCTTTCACCCAACAAAACCCAAATGTCTACCATCTATGCTGTGTTAATCTGGTAGTTATCATTAATCCTCTTTACCAAACACGTTGTTATATATAATATGCAAAGTAGCCAGAAGGATTAATGTGAAGCAATAATAGTTTTACTATGTTAAGGAAACTCTTGAATATCCACAGGGTGAATATTCATGGAACAAATATTAAGACGTGTATTTTAGCACCCCCTGGACCTGAAGATGCAAGTGTGTGTGTGGAGGGGGAAGTTGGGGAGGGAGAGGCCATTTTCTTCTACATGCTTCAGCCCACGTACTGTCACTGTCTCTACATCTTGGCGACTCTGGCAAGTGAAACAGCCCTTAGACAACACTCAGAATTATTTATCTTCTCTCAGAGTTAAGCAAACTGTCACCCTCTAAACTAAACAGTCTCGGGGGGTGCTGCCACTGACCTGCATCAGGATGGTCTACTACCGCTTCCGGAGTCCAGAGCCCAGCCTTCACGTAGCCCCTCTTCTCCAGAGTTATGAGAAAGCTGCCATCTCCAACCACAACCTCTCCACTATCCAGACGTTCCAAAATACCCTGAAGGAAAGAAAGAAAAATCACCTAGGATACATACCTCTTTTTCTTTTTTTTTTCTAAAAGCAGTTTCCAATTTTAGGAAAGGTGGTATTATGTTCTTATAGTCCCAGTTCTGTTAAAATCCTCAAAGCCTAACAATATTTCAGAAAGATTGAGTATATTCTGTTTCTTGGACACTCCAGGTATTCGTTTTGTGCAAAGTGCTGTGAATATTTTTTCTCAAACAACATTTAATCTGAGTCAAATTATAGTGAAAGTGCTGATTCCGTGATAGTTGTTAATGTATTTCATTTGGGGAGACAATGTCCCCAAGTTAAAACAAATCCTTGGGCTCCCTTCCTCCTGGGAGTGGCCATATGACACGGTGCTGGCCAATGAGACATAGGTGGAAGTCAGTTAAAGATTTCCGGAAAAGTTCTGCTTTCCTGCTATAGATGGGCACTTCCTTCCATCTGGGCATTTTTTTTCTCCTTCCTCTCTGGAATGTTACCATAAGTCCTGGAGGTATAGCAGTCATCTCTCAGCCATGCCACTGAAAGCTAATAGCTGGTGTAACTAGCAGCGGGGTGTGTGTGTGTGTGTGTGTGTGTGTGTTTTAATGACAACTTTGAGTAGCTGCAGCAGCCATGGATTGCAAGATCTCATGTTAAGTGAAAAAAAAAAAAAAACCTCTTTTTTGTGTAAACCACTATACACAATCCTAAGGAACACACAGTTTCATAATGATGCCCTACATTTTCCAGCATGTTCATGTTCATATATTCACATGCATGTTTTCATTTGGTACTCCGGACAACTCTGTAAGCTAGGCAGGGTGGACGGTTTTTATTCCCATCTTATAAATGAGGAAACGGATGTTCAGAGAGGCTAAGTGACTTGTCCAAGATACAGAGCTAAGTAAGTAAACAAGTAGACTTCAGATCTTCCAAATTCCTAATCTAGTCTCTTTCTAGTCCCACTTCTCTATTCAGCCCAGCATACTTGAATAAAAGGTTGTATCCGGAGCAGTTCTCCAAGGCCTTACGGTTTCCATTGTCTAAAACATGCCTCCCCCCGGATACCTGCTTGGGTCACCCTCTCACTTCCTTCAGGACTTTGGTCAAGGGTCATCTTTTCAGGGAGGGCTTTTCTGACCATCCTATAAAAAAAACTGCAAACACTCCCATGGCAATCCCCATTCCTCTTGTATAGACGGCCTTAGTTAAAGATAGAACCTTTTATTGAAAATCAAGGCCAGTTCATCTCAGCCCTGTCCACAGCTGGACACAGAGCAATGCATGAATGGGGGAGAAAAGCGTGTAGTTGCTCCTTCTAACCAGTCTGCAGTCCAGGAAGGTACATTAGAAGGGCTTGTACTGGAGGCCACCGTATCTACAACATCTCTGGTATTTGGAAGTGGAATGGAGACCAGCCGCGTTAGCTGTGTTAGCCATAGACACTGTTTTGACAGAGAGGGCTCCCGACTCTGGTTATTTTTCCATACTTCATATCTAAAAATGAATTTTAGCTGAATGTGGAAGGAATGTTAATATTTATTATGATTCTCACCTTTTCCTCTATTCCCTCCATACAATGCAATTTGCCCTTTTAATTTTGTACTTTTGAAACATAAAAAGGACTTCAACTTTTTTTTTTTAAAGATTTATTTATTTATTTATTTGAAAGAGAGAGAATGAGAGATAGAGAGCATGAGAGGGAAGAGGGTCAGAGGGAGAAGCAGACCCCCTGCCGAGCAGGAAGCCCCATGTGGGACTCGATCCCGGGACTCCAGGATCATGACCTGAGCCGAAGGCAGTCGCTTAACCAACTGAGCCACCCAGGCGCCCAAAGGACTTCAACTTTAAACTCTCACGGACCTTTCCACCTGCCAGGTACAGTTCCAGGCAAGAGGGATAAACATCGGTATAAGACGAGGTCCCTGACCTCAAGAAACCCAAGGTCTGGCCACCTTGGAGAAGGCCAGTGGGTCAACAAGTCATCACAACACATGTGATAAATAAATGCTGCATAGGACTATAGAAGAGAGAATCAGAGGTATAGTCATTTGCATCAAATGTCGTCTTGAAAATCTAACACTTCAATTAAGTTAACCATGTTAAGAATCAAATTTAGTTCTAGAGGGGAAAAACACTGGCATACAGTCTGGGTGTTATAGGATAGTATCTCACCTCCTACATCCAATCTATCCCAGGGTTATGACAAGTGTATCTATTTGACACTTCTCAGGAATGTCCCCCCTCCCTTCCTCACTGCCCCTGGATTGTTGGAATGGCCTCCAGTTCGCTCCAGCCCACCCTGGCATATCTTCCATTGCTGCAGAGTGAAGCCTTGCCTGACCTACTCTTGTTTGGGATTACATCCTCCTTTGTGTTCTGCCTAAGGCCAAACACCGTCCATTCCTGCATCTATCACTTGTACTGCAGTATCTGGTTACCTACTTGTCTCCTCTGTTTGGCTTTAAAATGCCTGAGACTCAGGTGACAAATGACACTCTTTAGCTAGGGTTTTAAGAAAATTATAGGGCTTATTTTGGTTGTATCTTCATGATAACAAGTAAAGACATTTTGATCTGTTACCTAGATGTTTGTCCAAAATTTTAAATTTTGCCAGTTTTCTAAACAGCCCTTAGCAAAATAACTCCATCATCAAGATTTGAATTCAGAGCAGCTACCAGCCCCTCCTTCACTGCTCTATTTACCACCTCAATTAATTACTACACCAGGATGATCTAAAGACAGCTCTAGTATGACAGAGGACTGGAAAATACAGATCATTGTAAATTAATTTGCAGTACATTTATATTTTCATTCCATTCTCCCTTTCAGTTTGGCAGTGAATCTGCCTTGGAGCTGGTAGTGAGCTCCGAGAGGCATTTATGCTTCCTTTTTGCAGATCTCAGTATCCAGACTTCTGGATTTAAGGTCTGGCTTCCAGGCGCCTCTATTCATACACAGAGGAGCTGGCCGGAGTCTGCCAGACATCCATTCTGCCTGAAGCTGCCACCAGGACTGCTCTTGTGGATTAATGAGGCTACTGGAGGTGTCCCCTGTGGCAATTAAATGAATTCTTAAGATGTACCTGTTAGCTGACAGGAGAGGTGAGATTAGCTGCTTCCCACTAACATTTTAACTCTCAGGTACACATTAGCATGGGTTATCATATGATAATCTTGGTGTTGCAAGAGCAGAGGCTGCTGGGAAGAAACCGGCCAGGGACAGCATATTTTAAAAAACCTTTTTAAAAATGAGCTGACGGTGAACACAGTATTACAGAAAGTTTAGAGGAAGAAATCAGCACAATGGCTTTATGTTTTTATTAAGCTCATTTTCTTCAATGCCCATATTTTACTTTTATAATCAGAAAGACATATCCAAAGATTTTTTTGTTAATTGTTAAATCCATATTGCACATCTTATGTAATTATTACCATTATTATTTCCTTCCTTACACTGCGTATATAAATATTTTTACATAGTTGAGATCAGTCCATGACATAGTATAACTCCTTTTATAAGGTAACATTGCCAAAGCAGTTTGCTTGTTCCCATACTTAGTTTCTTAATCGGTGTCTAATAACTTATTAACTGGGTGCACCTTTATTTAGGGAGCCCACCATCGTTGGTCATCTTGGTTGTTCCTAACTTTTTAGTATAAATAGATCAGTGGTGCACATTTCCTTGTCTATATAGCGTCTCCCTTCCCCACCCTCTCTGAATTTGGGGCACAGGTGGGTTGCTTTGAGGGATCCTGGAGATGTCCTGCGTCCAAGTTCATGCCTTTCCTAATTTTGTTTTGTCGCCCCTTCTCCTCACAAGCACACACTCAGCAGAGAAACGGGGCGGAGGAGGGGGGTGACAAGGCTCACAGTTGGTGAGCAGATGGGGAACGAAGCTTAGAGAAGGAGCCAGGGCGACCTGTCTGACTGATGAGAGGAGGCCGAGCCCCTCCAGCCCACCCTGCGCACCCCCCAGACCTGCGCACTCCCTTACCCACCCCTTCTCCGCAGCCTCGGGTCGGGGAGGGTCTGCACCCAGGACTGGTTTCACGCCAGCCCACCGCTTGCAGGGCCACGCTGCCCCGCTTCCCAAAACCTGAGGGACTCGAGCTCTGGGGCCAGTTGAGCCGAAGACCTGACGGTGTCTGTGGGCTAAGGGTAGAAATGTGAGCATGGCCCCTGAATTCGAAGCTAGACTTCAAATCCCCGCTTCACCGTGGACTAGAATGGGTGACCTTGAGCTAGCTGACTGACTCTCTGGGCCTCAGTTTCCTCACCTGAAAAATGGGAATAATCGTGAAAATGAGATAATTTGTGTAAAGCAGTCTGCGCAGCGCGGGGCACTGGGTCAGGGCTCCGTAAGTGTTACCCGAGATTGTTATCTAATCCTGTCGCCGAGGTGGTATTGTCATCCCGGGCACCTGGCGGCCGCGGAAACCGAGGCGCAGAGCCATCCGGGTGCCCGGCCGAGGCCGCAGAGCTCGGCCAAGGACTGAAGTGGGGTTTGAATTCCAGGCCCTGGGAGCCCCGCGGCCAGCGGGGCTGAACACTTCGCGGACGCCCGGAAACTCACCTTTTTGGCCCCGGGGCCTCCGGCCTGTGCCATCGCGCCGCAACTGTGTGGGCACCGGGTCCGGGAGAGCGCGCCAGCCCTCGAGCCCGCCCCTCGCCCGGGGGAAGGTCCCTCCCCCCGCTCCGCGGAGCCGCCGGCCCCGCCGCCCCAGGGTGTCGGCTGGCCTCCGAGCAGGTGCCCACGCCCGCGCCCTCGGCCTCCCCGGCCTCGCCATGCTTCGCTCCGGCGTACAGCGGCTGCGGGGCCTCCCGCTGCCGAGCCTCCCGCTGCGGAGCTCCCCGGGCCGCCCGCGCTCAGCCTGCGGCCGCCAAGGGTGAGTGGGGTCCGGCCCGCGCAGAGGCCTGCGGCTGGGCGGCTACCGGGGCGGGAGACGGCCTGAGGCAGTGTGCGGGGTCAGGGGCGCTTTGGCCTCCGAGAAATGGGCATTTGGATTTCTTCTAGATTTCTGTGTGTTTTTTTTACATGCACGCACGTACAAAGTGAAATAGTATCAAAGGGTTCCCAGTGCGAAGCCATTCCTATCCCCATATTTGCCCCCTGTCAAGTGTTAACAGTGTCTTCTGTATTTTTCCCCGAGATTGTGTGTAAGCAAACAGGGGTGTATGTATGTTCCCCTTTGCCTTACTTACACCTTGCTTTTTACAATGCATCCTGGAGAAGCTCACGATCCAGCTAGGAAGAAAGTCATGCAAATAAATATATTAAACCACTGAGCAATAATTATAAAATGAGAGAAGACTGTATGCGGTGAGGAAATGCATTTTACTCCATCTGGCTCTCTTCAGCCTGGGACGCATTGGATGGAGGGGATGATCCAAGGTTTATAGAAGCTAAACTTCACGATGATTATGGTTTTATAATAATATATATATATATTATAAATATATTATTTATATATATTTGTATATATATAAATAATATATATATTATTATAATCATATATAAAATGATTATAAGTGTGTTCTTTAAGTAGACTGAGAAAAATTATTCTCTAGATCCTTTGGAAATTAAAAAAAAAAGAAGTCATGTTCAATTCTTTAGTTCTATTAGTTTATCTACAATGGACCAGAATTATATGGAATGGGGCTCACATGCCTCCTCCTCCCTCCCCTAACCAGGTTGCATCAGTCAGGGTTTAGATACCCCAAATGATTAAAGCAGCACTATGCCAACCTCCCAGGCACTGTTAAGATATTAGAGAAACCAGGAGAAACACAGTGGTCAGAAAAACTATAGCTACCACATCCTAGTAAAACTACCCTTAACAAAAATTGTCTTCCAGAGAGGAAAACCCCCCCTTATCTGCAGAAACAAGATGGAAAGACAGAGCAGAAACTGTGATCATTGGAGGCGGCTGCGTTGGTGTGAGCCTGGCTTATCACCTCGCCAAAGCCGGGATGAAAGATGTGGTCCTCCTGGAAAAATCCGAGCTCACTGCTGGATCTACCTGGCACGCAGTAAGAAAAGCACTTCGAAACCATCCCACGCAATGAACTGTGCACCAGTGCAATCACTTTTCTTCCCCTTACAACTCCCCACTTAGAGCTTTTTAGAGCGAGTTTCCTTTCAATGGTGGTGGAAGGTGCAATTACAATTTAGTTGGTGTACTTCCAGGGCGGGATCAACATTTATAATGTCTATCTTGGACATGTGGCTTCTGGATTCAACCCTGGCTCTGCCATTTTCTACCCAGCCGACCTGTGGCCAATTACTTAAGTTTCCATTCCTGCTGTGCAAACGGGAATATCAACAACACTTACCCAATAGGGTTGTGACGAAGGTTGAGTTAATATGTGTAAAGTTATTAAACACATGGTAAATGTTTAGCAAATGTTAGCTTTTTTTGTGGAAGGATCCTGGCTGGCTGATCTCAAACATAGCTGGAGACCTTTCCCTAAACTCCCCTCACCTGGGTTTCGTGGTCCTTTTTTTTTTATGTATGATTTTAATTCCACACTGTGAGTCGACAGGTTGGCTTCGTGAGGCTGAGGACTGCGAGGGCTGGGAACATGGGACCCTGCTTTCGTGTTGTGCTAAATAGATGCGCAGCCGAGTCAATTGGACGTATTTAATGATACACATAATTGTTCCCGTACTACACAGTAATTGGGCTGAAATGGAAAGTTGCTCAGGTCAATGAAGGGGTTGGCACTGCTCTCATCCCAGTATGCCACCCCAGTGATCTCTGAAGTCAGCTAAGGATGGGAGAGGCAGTTTTTGTGACTGTTGGCACAAATTTCTTTTGGAGAAAGAGTTGGGCAGTGTTAGCCGCTGCTCGTCATTCTTTCTGTCTCTAGTTGTCCTCTGCTGACACAAGAGGGAACCCTGCTTTTTAGGGACTTCTGAATCTCGAACCCACTCTAGGTTTGGGGGCTGCCAAGCACTGAAAGGGCTGCCTGTCTCCTGTTGAGCCTGGGGGAGAGCGCAGCCCACATTTAAGCCCAGTTGGGCCCAGTGTTCTGGTAGTCTCATAGTCAGACCCCACCCACTCACTGGATGGAGGCTTCTCAAAAAGTCACACCAAGCCCAGCTCCTCTCCCCCGTCTCCTTCCCCTCCAGTCCCCTCGTCCCTCAGTCTGAGTGGGAGGTACGGGCACCTGGTCCTCCCTCAGTGTCTTTTCAGAGCCCTTACAGGCAGCTGACTCTCATTTCCACAGTTGTCCTTCAGCTCGCTTCCTCCTACCTGGAGAGAGGGGTCTGGGAAGCCGCCGACGCTCCTGGCTCTTCTCCTCTCCCTGAACTAGACTTTCTAGGTAGGCTTCATGTTATCACATGGAAGGGAGCCTATATTTCTCCTGTAACCCTCCTGTAACTTCTCCTTAGTGGACATTTGCTCACCCTTTCAACAGTATTCACTGAGAGCCTATGTTGGGTCAGGCCAGCCCTGTTCTAAGAGGTGGGGACACAACAGGGAAAAACTAAGTGCCTGCCCTCACAAAACCACATTCTGGTGTGGCAGACAGAGAACACACAAGCAATGCTTGAGAGTAATCAGTGCCGTGAAGAAGAGTAAGGTGGGGTAAAGGGATGGAGAACGATGGGACGGAGGAGTCAGGAAGCTACTTTGAGGAGGTGACGCCTCAGCAGAGACCAGGAAGAAGTGAGCGAGAGTGTGGTGAGGCTGTCCGCGTAAGGGCAGGTAGGCAGGGGGAAGTTTAGGCAAGTGGAGATATCCTGAGAGGGAGGATTACACCCTTTTAATACTTCCCGATTGTTAAGGAGGGCATGCGTTTTAGTATTTTAATTATAGATTTGCTCATTTGTATTTGATTGATTTGATGTGGCCTACATTTTAGAATAGATTACTGGATTCCCTGCATTATTACTTCTTAGACATCCCATGAATGAAAAAACAAAAAAGCAACATACTCTGAACCTGTTTTTTCAAGAAAAGTGGGCAAAATTCTTTTTTTTTAAATAATTTTTTTATTGTTATGTTAACCACCATACATTACATCATTAGTTTTTGATGCAGTGTTCCATGATTCATTGTTTGTGCATAACACCCAGTGCTCCACGCAGAACGTGCCCTCTTTAATAACCATCACCAGGCTAACCCATCCCCCCACCCACCTCCCCTCTAGAACCCTCAGTTTGTTTTTCAGAGTCCATCGTCTCTAATGGTTCGTCTCCCCAAAGTGGGCAAAATTCTTAAGAGGATAGCTTCTTGTTAAATGTTAACTGTGCAAAATAATTTCCCCTTAACCAGAGAGATTCCAGAGTGAGTGGGAAAGACATGCTCCTGCTTTGTGCACAAGGTATTATGCTATACACTTTACAAAAAGAGACCCAGGCAGTGTGAGCTCAAGATGGACTCGGGCATCAGGAGTCAGATTATTTGACACCCTGGGAATAAAGGAAAAAACAACATGAAGAAGTTCCGTATATTCGGAATTTTTAACGCAGAGAAGTATTTGGAGCAGATTTGAAAATGTGTAAGGCTGGGGAGCCAGCTAAAGGGGCAGACTACAAAAATCCAGGCAGTCTCAGTGAACTAGAACATGTGCTCAAGGTTAAACATATCTGTAAAGTGCAGGAATCAAGTACTTAAGGAGGAAGGTACAGCTTGCAAAATGAATATTAAAAATGGAGTCACAAATCCCCAAATCCTGAGGCTTTGCTATATTTTAACAAGACTGCTTTGTCAGCAGGTGCCTCTACTACCGATTTAGACCATTTCATGTAGGTTGGAGGGAAAAGGGAGAGGATGGCGTGAGAAGCAGCTCTGGAGCATGGGGCCCCCAGGAGACGCGGCCCCTGGGGATGATGCCAAAGTGAATGTTCTGGAGAACTGAGGACTAAAGAGCTAAAGATGCACAATGATCCATTTGGGGTGTAGGAAAACAATATTAGAACTTTCTGTTCATTTTCATCTAAAAATGTAACAAAGAAATTAAACTTTACTGGTCTTTATAAATAGCCTTCACTCGTGACGTGGGTGACCTATGGGGTATGATTCCAAGGTTGACTAAAAGAAAGGTTGGCACACCACAAAGGAAGCAGCCCCATACTTTCTTTTTCTTTAGTCTACCATGACATAATGCAGATCACATGCTATAGAGTGTCATTGTTGTGATGAATTTTATAGAAACAGGGCTTTAGGTAATACAATTTGTGATGAAAGGGAGAGGGAATGAATTTGAAAATGTACCGTATCTCATACAATAATTTAAAGGGTTGTGAAACAAAATTTTTCTTTTACAAAAAGACAAGTGTCCTAAATTTAGTGGTCTTTGTAGTGATGCAAATGGCTGCCAGTCATTTCCACATAGCAGATACACATAAAAAAAATGAATGCAATCTATCCTTGACAAGTAAAGATGATATTACAAGTGAGAAATAACTGCTTTTTGCAAAATAGTCCTGTTGGGGAGAGAGCATTTTGAAAAGGGATGTTTGGAAATGTTGACATCATTATTAGAATTTCTGGCCAAAATAATATGTATCATCTAGAAAAACTCTCATATATATATATATATATATATGTATATATATATATTCAGATGGGTTAAAAAATGAGATAAATTTTTTAACCCATCTGAAATTTTTCCAAATGAGTGTCAG